TTTATTCTAAATGATTGTATTATCATATTTCGTTTTTTGAGATATTCTGAAATACCTAAATATTTTTCAAGTGGTGCTCGGAATATTAACTCTTGAAATTTGAAGAAATTGTTTGCATAGTTTGAAGTTGGTGTACGAACAAGTCGATAGTATATGTCAGCTGCATTAGGTATTTCATTTTTCTCCACTTCACATGATGTGTAATCATGCCATAACTTAGATATTTAGTCAGAAGTAACTTTGTCTACGGGTTTTGATATTGTATCATCGACCATATTTAAAATATTTTCTATTACCTATAACATCAACAATCTTTTTTCATACTGATAGTTTATCATTTGGATTTATTTCTATTTTCATTTCCACTTAACAAATCCGAGCTCACAATGTGGACTAGATTAAACTATTATTATCCGTGACATTGGTATACTCTGTGCAACTTCGGCCACCACACCTTTTAGACAGCCGATTAAATAGTACTTCTTATCGATGTTCGATACATTAGGGCGCGAATCCACTAGTGCACAAAACCTATCTCGGAATGTTGGCCAATAACGGATGTCTCCGTCGAAAACTGGCAACGGGATCTCCAGCAGACGTTAATGTGAATTAGCTTGCTACTCGCAATTATTCTTTGTGGCGGGTAGCGTCTTTATTATGTATGAAAGGTTAGGATCGGGGAATACTCGTTAACTTTACCTAAAATTAGTATGCATGCTAATTCCGAATCGTCTTCGGATTTTAATTGTGACCATAACGAATCCAAATCCGCAGTGAGGACGGAAAATGTAGCTGCTAGGCTTGTGTCATGTGATATACTCAACTCCATAGAGTGTATGGACTTGATCTGCGAGATAACGCTTGGTCGTTTTGCCATGGTCATAATTGTTATGCGTTTGACTTCTTTATCATCAGACATGACTACGTTATAACCTTACACTAACAAATTACACCGGGCGATAGGCCAACACCTGTCGTTTAGATGATTAATTAAAGGTTCACTGTTTAAAACCGAGGTACCTGCGGTGTCTTGTGGCGTAACAACTTTAAGCCACGTTTATATTAACCAACCAAGAAAACACTATACGCGACACAAAATCGTAATCGCATGAGAACCTTGAAACTAAACTTAATACACCGCTCCCAGGACCCCCTATAAGGCCGGAAAAACCTCGCTCTGCCGCTAAAATGTTCTGCACCGATATAGCTCCTACAAATAGGTGGTTGGCAATACCGATTAGTGATGGAAGGACGTAAGTTTACCACATAAATGAGTACAGGACTAGTTTTAATTTTATGATTACATATATTTTAGAGATTATTTATTTAAATAAGGTGAGCGCCCAAGGATATATACAACTAATGATCGAAAATGATCGCACAATAATTTCAATCAGACAAAATAATACAAAATATGACCTATCTGTAGCCTTAGCGTGACTGCCGTCTTTAGCCGTAACGTTTTCGACGTGGAACACGGCGGCCAGAAAGCGACGTGACGGCTGATCAACAACGACCCACACTTAGTTCCGATCATGCAGTGGCGTATATGAGGGGGGGGCGATAGGGGCGATCGCCCCCCCCCCCGAGAGATCTTTGAAAATAATATTTTATGATTGTTGAACTTATAAGTGTTTCTAAATATTTTAATTAATAAGCAAATAATTTTTTTTGGATGAGAAATTTTTGTGATAACTGTCAACTGATAATACATAATACAACCGGATTACTGATTAGTGATTGCTCTATGGTACGCAAAGATGGAACATTTGGCCCGAGGACTGGGTGACGTAGTCGTACCAAACGAATGATGGAACGGAACGTCATCTGTCGAAATGGTTACCTAATTAATGGTCACGATGGGTCATTTCGTTATTGTGATAAACTGATAACTTATCTGATACTTATCTATGAAAAATTAAATATGATATTTATGAAAATGTGTTGTGTTTGTTCGACTGTTCCGTTCGCCTGTTCGCCATACAATCGTTATTCGTACACTTGCGACTTGCAACTGATTTAACATCCCGTATCCCCGTGCACGCTATATTTTATATACGCAAACAAGGTTCTAGGGGAATAAAAAAAAAAATCAAGTTGTCAAGTTTTTCGAGTTATCGCAACTCGACTGTATAAAGCCTTACTAACAACCTTGAAACAAATGTTTTCATTATTCGGAATGTGCCATATGCTTAATTGCTCTGTATTTAGTTTTTAGTAATAGTAGTTACATTCTCTCTTTGTTATTTTCGTTTACTACTCTCCTCGACTTCACACATCCACTTTTTGGCTTTTCCACTTCTTATTATTTATATCCTTATATTAGTCATATCTGCTACTTTATATTATTTTGTCAATAGGTTAAAAACTTGGCTGAGATCAAAAATGGGCCAGGATCGGCTTACAGGGTTGGCATTATTAAACATTCACAGATCTATAGAAATAAATGTTGATGATGTAATTGATCGATTCACAAGTCTTAAAAAAAGAAATATAGATTTTGTTTTGTAATAAAAATTCTTTAATAAAAGTGCTAAATTAAATAATAAAAATGCTTTGTTTTTTTATATGTCTAAAAAAAATGTTTTTAATTGGTAGGGCGGTTTACTCCTCTTAATATCGCCCCCCCCCTAGGTGAAGTCTCAAATACGCCACTGCGATCATGGCACTAGACAGTCCATTTTCGTGCCCAGCGACTTATCTAACGTCAGTCATGTGTTCTTACGGAATAGTCGCCGCCGACTTTAAAGCTGGAAACAGACTATTGTCACGTCACGTGAGCTCACGTGCTATCACGGTATCTCGCGTCACGCGGAAAATGTGTAGATTATGTAGAGTACACAGTATTTAATTACGTCAGAACCACACTGAAGTCACGTCACACATATCACGTCACGTTACCAACCTCACACGTGACAGCACGGTCTTTTTTTCTGAAAGTTTACACATTTTCGACTCACGTTACCTCACGTTTATATAGTTTACATTCAATCATTTTTTTCCGGAGTTCTGAAGTAAATATTTTAAGTTTTTCAAATGGACGAGCTTTTAATAGAAAAAGTAAGGGATCATGAAGCCCTGTATAATCATGGTTCACGTGATTATCGTGATCAACAGCAACGTCAAACCGCATGGGAAGAAATTGGAAAAGAGTTAAAAATATCAGGTATGATAAACATAACTTTTAAATGTTAACTATATTAATTATGTTAGTTACTTAGTATATGACTTATTAATTACTTAAACAACTAGTATAATGGAATTGGTCAATTGTATATTAAATATTAGTAGTGAAATCAGTAAATTCTTTATCAGACATATATACCAGCGTTTTGTGTAGAAAACAAGTCTAATTATAATTTTGCACTTGATTAATCTAATCTAATCTTAATGCATGCATTATTACGCAATCATATTATATTTCTTCAATCCACATTTTGTTTATACAAAAATAATCAAATATTACATCGACTTATTTTTATTTAGATAATTACAATATTTAATACAATATAAGCACAACGAGAATATGAGAATTTAATTTTAACTTTTATTACGTCTTGTTTTATAATAAAAAAAAATCAACTGATGGCTATATAATAATAAGTTATGTTAACCCATTAATCCCCGAGGTAAGGAAAAAAAACTAATTTTATGTTTTTACTGCACTTTATTTCTTAGTATATACTCAAATAACAATTTATATAGTGAAAAAAAATTTTAGCTTTTTAGTTTTTTTACAACAAAATGTTGCGTATACGCAACGTTAGGATTACCAATGTTATTATAATTATTATTTAGTGTGAAATTTTTCAAAGCAGTTTGCGTGAAGATGCACTTGACACTTGACACACTTGTATATAGTGGTGCTTTTACACTGTCTACATCGTCTTCTTGCTTTATTTTTATCTTCTACTATCACGTGACCGAAATTATCAACTCGAATTTCTACGGGTAATGCGCTTTTAGATGGTCGCCCATAATTTGGATTGAAAGACAAGTTTATTTGGTTACTTGGTCCCGAAGTATCTTGGTCTTGAATATTATTTTCAGGGGCTGGTTCATTCATTTTCATAAGAGCGACTGCTATGTAAGACTTAAAATCTAACTGTGACATTTTTGATTTGTTTGCTAAATTGTGTACTTTCCAGGCATTTACAATTACACTGTCGATCAAATTTACAAAGAGGGGCCACCACCACTTTTTTCCTTTTACGTTGATTCTGTAATTACATATTCCGTTGTCATGCAAATCAACACCTCCCATATGTTGATTATACTCAGCTATAACTTTTGGTTGAGAAATTGAAACAGCCTTTTTTTCTTTTCTGTTGTACCGTTTTGCGCCCACAAGAGGTTCAATAGTACTGTTATTAGTGACAACAGTCACCACAGAATTGTCGTTCCATCTGACCAACAATATTTTTTGATTATTTTCAAAAGAAAAATCATAAGTACCACGATCTTTTTTCTTCAAATTTTTTACAGTTTCTATCGTGTTATTACATGTACGATTTTCACGTATTGTTCCAGTAGCGTAAAACCCTCTTTCTTTCAGTAAACAGAATAATTTGTATGATGAAAAGAAATTGTCAAAAAATACGCGATGAAGAGATGGGTGCTGAACAACTGACAATAGCTCTAGTACAACATTTGCTCCTAAACCTAATTCATTATTATAAGTGCTTGTTTTCCCACCATAAGGTATACATTTGTATAAGTAACCATTGGAACTACAGAGACACCATAATTTGAAGCCAAATCTGATTGGTTTTCCCTTGATAAACATCTTACAACTATGTCGTCCAAAATATGGCACCATCTCCTCATCGATTGATAGGTTATGAGAAAATACTCCAAACTGCATATTTTTTTCATTTATTAAATCAAAAAGAGGTCTTAGTTTTGAAAATCTGTCATTTTTATCAAGTTGGTCGTTATCTGATAAATGTAAGTTTTGCTTTATGGAATCGAATCTGTTCCTACTCATACTGTTTCTAACTAATGGTATTCCTTTATCCTCGTCTTTAGACCAATATAGTTTTGTAGCTGGTAACGTATGATACCCCGAAAAAATAAGTATACCAAAAAAAAAGCTTTAGGCTAGTTTTGTCAATTATAAATGAATGCCGATTTTTATCACAAGCATATTTTTTTGTATAAGAAATTATTTTTTCCCAAACATCGTCACTGAAATACAATGAAAAAACTTCAAAAGGAGTTTTACCACCAATTCTATTTTCAATGTCTTCCAAATTTATTTTTTCTTTATTCTGTGGCGCTGTTGTATACACTGGAACCTCTTTCTTCCACTTTGGAAGAGCTGTCTTTGACTTATTTATGTTTTTTTTACTAACCTTTGATTTTATTGAACTTGATGGTAATAATTCACTGTCCAAATCTTCAGAAGAATTAGGTAAACTTGCATGTATTTCATAAGTTCCCGCGACATCTGGTAAATTTATCACATTTTCACGTAAGTCGTCATCAAGCTCTTCTTCGTCTGTGACTTCGTCTACAGGTGGCGGAATATACACGGCATCAACGGAATCAGTCTGAAATAAATCCTCATCTTCTTCTAATATGGCTAAGAGTTCAGCAGTTGACAGAGGTCTCTCGTTTTTCCAAGACATCACTATAAATACAAATATATATCACTACAAATTATTTTAGGAAAAAAGTATAGTAAATAAATAAATTGCGTAATACACTTACTCCGATTCAATATTTTTTAAGACTGCACTTCACTAATCGGCACAGTTATTTTATTACTTACTCATTCAACTATTCACTACGAATTATCAAAATAAACTGAAACACTTTTGCTACACGTGCCTCTGAAGACATGACACATTAGCGATTATATAGTCACACTAGGAATCCCAACGTTGCGTAGACGCAACAATAACAAAACCAGCCAGTTATTTACAAACTATAAATATAAAGTTAAATATGATATTATTTTTATTTTACTAAAGACTTTGTAAATGTAAATTGATAATAAGGGAAATCCAATTTTATTCTGAGTTGAGAAAAAAAATCGACGAAAATATGGTATAGGAAATTCCAAAATTCTTAATAGTTTATAAATACTCAGAAATTAAACTTTTTAAAAATATCGAATTATTTCATAAAAACTGTAATTAATGTCCTGTTGAGAGTAATTTGTGACAGCTAAAAATAATTTTGTTCTTTTTTTTTTTTTTTTTTTTTTTATTTTTTTATTATTAAGGCATTCCTAGCTGGAAAAGCTATCTAAGCCTATTGATAATGTACATACAATTTTCTTTTTACATAAGTGCGATAAAAGTAATAATAATAATTTTTCTCCACTTTTTTTTAAAAAAAAACCAATTTTATAAATGTTGCGTTTACGCAACGTTGGGGACTAATGGGTTAAGACACGTATCGCTTAATATTTATGAATTAAGAATGAATCTTCCTTTTCAAACACGTTCCATCTGCCAAACAACACTACCAGCATCTGAATTAAAATAACCTCTAAATTTTTCTCGAACTTGAAACGCTTCACTAGTGAAATATATACATATATAATATATATATATATATTCTTCTTAGAGGATCTAAATTCAATAAAGCTGCTTCTGGAAGTTGTAATGATTCATTATCGGGTTCAAACGCATTGTTTGCGCATAACATGTTATGCAGACAGCAAGATGCAAGAACAATTTTATCTAATTCTGGTTGTACTTCTAAGTGCCCACGGAAACACCTCCAACGAGCGGCCAATATTCCAAAAGCGTTCTCGACAACGCGTCTTGCTCGTGACAATCGATAGTTGAATATTTTATTGGGCTCATTATCCCCTGTATTCTACTGTATGGGCGAAGCGAATAACTCTTTAATGGAAATGCTTCGTCTCCAACAATGACATAAGGCTGAGGATCTCCGTTTTCTGTCAAAGGGGTTGGCTCTGGAACATTGAGTGTCTTATTATTCAACTTTTGACCAATTACTGACTGAGAAAAAATTCCACCAGCACTGTTTCGTCCATATGAGCTGACATCAATTGCAATAAACTTATAGTCTGCATCAACAAGTGCTAAAAGTACAACTGAATGACTACCTTTATAGTTATAATAAGTAGATCCGGCATTAATGGGGTATTGGATTTTAATATGCTTGACATCAAAAGCACCGATGCAATTTGGAAAATGCCACATTTTTTTTTTGTATTTTGCTGCAACATTTTTCCACATTTCTTCTGTGGGTGGTGGCATTACGATTGGTCCCAATCTATTCCATATTGCATCACAGACTTCTTTTACAATTTCTCGAACCGTACTGAATCCTAATCTGTAGTTGAATCCAATACTTCTAAAACTATTTCCTGTTGCTAAAAATCTGAAAAAAGAGGATTAATATAAGTAATTTTTAACTTCAGATTCTAAATATAAAAATATTGAAAATAAATTAAAATAGTTTGATAGATATTAATATAATTTTTATATTTTATATTCAGGAAATCTAGCAAAACAATGTTGGGAAAACTTAAGGAGATCTTTTTGTAATGCAAGAAACAGACGTCGTGATGAATCAAAAAGTGGTTCAGCTTTCAAAAAGATATGATCTTAGAAATTTGAACAACAAATGTCATTCATCATACCTTTTTTAGAAAGCAGAAAGTAAGTACAGTGAGACCTCTAAATACCGGACACTCAAGGCCGCCGTAATTTTGTCTGTTATTTAGAGGTGTCCGTTATGGGAGGGTTTACTGTATTGATATTGGGATTGCCATCAACATAACAATTTTTTTTGTTTTTACATATTATATTATATTATAATCCATATTTTTCTTTTGAAGGACGCTAAGAAATTTGAATGATTCTAACTTATTTGCTGAACCTGAAAATCTATCAGAAGAGTCTGAAGCAGAAGATCTCGCATCTTTTAGTCCACTGAATAGAGAAAACGAACAAGATTCTAAAGCCGACCAAACTTCAGATTTCCATTCAGCTTTTAAGGAATCTGATATTCTTGAGAAACGCAACGAACCAGTAGAAACATTAAAACGATTTAAAAAACAAAAACAACATACAACTTCAGCAAGACAATCTGTGGAACTTATAAAGTAAAGTTCAGATTTAAGGAAACGCCAACACGAAGAAAAAAACACATCAGGCTGCAATTAAGCCAGCTAGTGTTTCAGATACACTTGATGATACTGACTTTTTTTTATTAAGCATGTCAAGAATGACGAAGCAGTTGCCAAAAATGGAGCAATCCCAAATTAAACTTCAGTTGAGTAATTCTGTACTATCTGCAGAAATAAGATGCAACCAACAATCATTTTCGTCGACTCCCTATCCCTGTTCTACACAACCTCAATCATTTGCCTCATCTCCGTCGCCAGCTCTAAGTCAAGAATATTCCAGTGGCGAATATTCAACGAATCCCGAAACGAACAACAGAATGACCGTACTTGAAATGGTATCTCTTCTTCAATCACAGTATCAATAAATTAAGTATTTATCTTTTTTTGTTATAATTAAGCAGAAGTTAACATTCCACATAAAAAAATTGTATCTTAAAAAATTGAAAAATTGTAACACAATGGACAATTTAAATTTATATACTTAATTCCTGATTTTATATTTTTTTTTTTTTTGTAGCTGCCCCAAGTTACCCTTCAAAGGGCGTATTTTGGGACAACTATTTAATTTTGCAGAAAAACTCATTTTGAGCCGAATAAAAAAAATGTGTTCCTTACAACATTTTACATATGAAAGAGTCATCAAAATTATCTATTGTCCATTACTAAATACTGCCACAAGTAAAAATCCAATCTTTAAAAATGTATTTTCATATATTCAACTTGAATACAAAAATGAAAATAATTGTCAAACCTTTTCACAATAACAAACTTTTATAAATTTAAACAATTTACTAAATAATTTTTATTTAGCTTCACGCTCTGACATTGATTTTGTTTTTACAGCCAAAATTGCTTGTTGTAATTGGTGTTGAGTAAAAGTTTTGTAAGGCCTTCCACCAACTGTTTTAAGTTTTCTACCTCCCATGACTGAAAAGAATAAATTAAACATTTTAAAATTATTTTATTTTCTTACACAATAGATATTGAATTATTAGATATCATAAAAGCACTATTTCGAATCAAAACTCATGTTTCTAAGATTGTATTAGGTACCTAGGTAGGTACCTACTTAAAATATAAAAAAATACAAATTTATTGTATATAAATATTATAATGCCATCGTACAAGGTATGCCCCAAGTTACCCTTAAATCATAAAGTTGCTTATAACTCGAGAGAATTTAATGTGATTATGATGTTTCTTATTTAGATTCATACTACACAAGAGAAAAAAAAGTTACATACAGTTTTACGTCAAATTATAACTTATTTAAGTAAAGTGAGATAGAAATAAGGCTTCAGAATGGTTAAGTAAATAGTGTTTTTCTCAAATACTTAAAAATCAAACTAACCTAAAATCTACCAAGAAGTTTTGTTTTTTGGTTTTTTTTTTTTTATATACATATGATTATCATAATTTTAATACCTATATATTATAAATGAATTATAAAAATTTACTTTAAAATTAAATATGTAGTTCCACCTCTACGTCAATACATTTTTCATAATGGATATAAAATAAATTGACTATTAATTTACTTAGGTACTTACCAGCTTGCTGAAAATAACCCAACGCAGATTCATCCACAACGAAATAGAAAGGTTCAGATCCTATTTTTATGACTAAATTGTGTCTAGCCATGATTTAAATTCAATAATGTACTATAGTACAGACTATTAAGAATTTTTAAATTATAAATTAAAATATTTCATACACAATATTAAAAATAAATATTTATAAAGGACTAGTAGACAACTGACTATAAAATAATATAGGTACAAATATTTTATTTATAGCTTATGTGTGTTTGTTATTTTCCTTTTTTTTTTCGGTTTAATCGACGACCGAGAGGGGACCACTTTCGCATTACTTCCTCCCGGCCGCCATCGTTTATTTAAATAAATAAATGCATATACAAAATTATAGGGGAAGACGGGGCCAATCTCCGCGACTTGCCCTCTCACAGGGTTGTTACAATGAAAAAAGAATCTATAATCTAGAAAGTAAAAATTATCATCTCTAAATATACTAGGGGAAGACGGGGCCAGTCTCCCCGACTTACCCCCCTACAATAATTTAAATATACAAATACATGTTATAACAATATATCAGTACAGCCGCTTCCGGGTCCTGCTAATTACGTCATTGTACTCAGCTTCTATTTCGAGAAGAAAACTTTGAAACTGTCTATGAGTAAGGCCATGAGACCTAATAAAATTAACCGCTTTTGTTACAACAGACATAACATGTTCTAGACCTATAACTTTTCCACAGAGAGCCTGCTGATGAATAATACAGTGAATATTAATAGGAGGTTCAATATTTTTCAATTTTAAAAGTTTATTTACTCTACCAACAAAACCAATATTCTCTCCTCTCATATTTGGAGCGCCATCTGTTGTTATGCAACTTAGATTTTTCCAATCAAGCTTAAGATCTTGAAGACAAAGATCTACTTTTTCAAATATATCAGCCCCTGTTGTTCGATTATGCATACTTTTTAAAGAAGCCAACTCCTCTGTTATATTAAAATTAATATCAATGCCACGAATAATTATTAGCAGCTGGGCAGTATCGGTGATATCGGTACTCTCATCCAGTGCTAGCGAAAAATATTTGAAATCTCGTGCTTTGTTCTGTAGCTGTGTAAGTATGTTATTCCCTATATTTTCAACACGTCTGGTAATTGTGTTTCGTGATAAACTTATTTCCTTAAAAAGTTCTAATTTTTCAGGAATTATTTCTTCAACCACAGTTAAAATACATTTTTTTATAAAATCTCCCTCACTTAGAGGTTTAGTTTCACTAGCTATCAAATTCGCTACTTTATAGCTCGCTTGTACAACATTTGTTTTAGTTGAATTTTGTTTTTTAAATAAATTTGAAACATTTTGGGTGTGGATATCTTTTTTGAATGCTTCTAACTTAGTAACACGTAATTCTCCTAATTAAATAATATTATACGACATTAAGTTTTTGTACCTATAACTTAATTATAATGAAAATAATAGCTTACCTTTTAAATTGCCGAATTTTGCTTCATGTTTTGTTTCATAATGTCGTTTGATATTAAATTCTTTAAAAACTGAAACCGTTTCACGACACACAAGGCAAACAGCTTTTCTATTAATTTCAATGAAAAAGTAACTTATTGATCATTTTTCGTTAAAAATTCGGTAATCATCATTGTATTTTCGCTTTTTTCTGTCGGACATTTTAAAATAGAAATTTTATGATTTAAAATCGATATCACCCGTGCTCTATAAAGAGCGTACTGATCAAGTTAATGCGTACCTACAACGTGTACCTCAATTTGTAATCTGTGCTATAGTCAATAAAAAAGATAAGATATCCATATTATATTGCAACCTACGATGTGTAACTAAATTATATTAAGATTGAGAATATGAGTACTTTTATATTTGGTGGCCCGCTCGATTACAAATGTTTACCAAAGTGGCCCGCCGAGGAAAAAAGGTTGGGCATCACTGTTGTAAACTTTTAGTACATAATATACATTAAAAATAATCAACTATACGTATCAATAAATTCGTTCTAAGACACTACGAAAAATATATAATAATAATAGTAATTACCTTCGTTTTTTTCAATTATTGTTTTGGATTTGGAAGAAGTTTTTAAAAAAGTCGGTTATAGATGTATTTTGTATTTTTGTCTTTTCATTTTCAATTTTATAATAATAATTTAACATAATATTAAATATAACCGGCGTTGGGAAAGTGGCGCGCCCATCGCCCAGCACACCAAAAGTGTGCTGCAATAGCCCCACGCTGACTTTAATTAGTTGGTGTGGTCTGGCCCTCCAGGTTGGGGGTTGAGCGTAGGGCTGACAACCCTACCTCATAAAAAATAGATGTTAAGAATCAACAACATAATAAGCCTCGGAACAAAGATTTAACGGACATCAACATTGGAACCTGGAACGTGCGATCTCTGTATAGGGCTGGAGCTTTGACAACATCCCTATCGTGTCTTGAGCGATATGGGATGGATTTAACTGCGATTCAAGAAGTGAGATGGACAAACTCAGGTACCTTGAAATCTCAAGGAAATACAATATTATACAGTGGTGGAGATAAACATGAACACGGAGTAGGTTTCGTAATAAGTGATAACGTTGCGACAAATATAGTGAGGTTCCAACCAATAAGCGATCGGATATGCTACATAGAACTCAAATGTAAATGGTACAACATGTTCCTAATAAACTGTTATGCACCGACAGAAGATAAGAGTGACGACATAAAAAACAAATTTTATGAAGACTTAGACCTGGTGTGTGACACCCTACCGATTGATAAACCGAAAATAATACTAGGGGACTTCAATGCGAAGATTGGAAAAGAAAACATATACAAACCTACAATTGGATCCGAAAGTCTTCACGAAATTACGAACGACAATGGAAACAAACTAATCACTTTTGCCACTGCCAAAAATATGATAATAAGTAACACGTACTTCCCTCATAAGAATATACACAAACAAACATGGATCTCCCCATGTGGGTTAGTAAGAAATCAAATAGATCACATGTTAGTGGACAACCGGATAAAATCATGTGTCAAAGATATAAGAAGTATGCGAGGGAGTAGTGCAATGTCGGACCATTTCCTTGTGAAAGCGAAAATCAAACTCAGAATATCAACAAAATGGAAAAAAAAGAATAAGCACAAAGAAAAAATTAATAAGGATATACTGAAGACAATAACAGCTAAAGTGTACCAAGAAAAAATATCGATAGAATTACGAGACATACAAGAAATGGTGAACCTGAATGAAGCCTGGGGAAAGGTAGAGCAAGCAATCAAAATAACAGCAAAGGAAGTACTTGGATATGTATCAAAAAAGACAAAGAAAAGATGGTTTAACGAGGAATGTAAAGCAGCTCAAGAGGAAAAAGACAAAGCAAGAACAAAAGTTTTGCAGAACCCTAGTGAAGACAATAAAAGGCTACTAGCACAAAAACAAAAGGATGCAAAAAAGGTCATCAGAAGGAATAAGAGATTATGGGAAAAAGAACGGATACACACCATAGAAAACAACAGGAATATCAACTCCAGAATATTTTTCGAAAAAGTAAATGAAGTTAAACGTGGATATCAAACTAGGCCAACTGCTATGAAGAAGCATGATGGATCCTTACTAACAGAGAGTAAAGAAATTGCGTGTGAATTTAAAGATATGTTCGAAAAATTGCTAAACCAACCAAATGAAAATAACACAATAATTCAATACTCTACTGTAGAACAGCAGCTTGAAAAACCATCAGAAGACGAAGTGAAGATGGGACTAGATATGCTAAAAAACGGGAAAGCACCGGGAGATGATGAAATAGTAGCTGAATGCCTAAAAAAGGGAGGCCAAGGTCTACTGAACCAGCTACACAAACTTATGAACACAATCTGGGAACAAGAGGAGATACCCGAAGCATGGCGTATATCCATCATATGCCCTATACACAAAAAAGGAGACATCATGGAGTGTGAAAACTATAGAGGGATCTCACTACTCAATACTTCATATAAACTATTGTCCAACATACTACTGACTAGAATTAACCCATATATCAAGGAAATAATTGGAGAATACCAAGCTGGTTTTATGCTAGGAAAATCAACAACAGATCAAATACACATCGTAAAACAAGTTGTTGAAAAGAGTCACGAATACAATAAAGACACATATTTGCTATTTGTTGACTTCAAAGCAGCGTATGACTCAATCAACAGAGACAAACTATGGGAAGTCATGGAATCGTTAGGAATACCAGCCAAGTTAACCAGATTAATAAAATCGTGTACATATAATTCAAAAAGTAAAATTAGTTTTGGAGGAGAATTATCAGAGGAGTTTCAGGTAACGACTGGCCTTAGACAAGGTGACGCTTTATCACCTGCACTGTTCAACATCGCCCTAGAATCAGTTATGAGGACAGTTATATCCCAAGCTAAGGGCATAGAAATAAAAGACAATCGACATCTAACGGCAGTCGCTTACGCGGATGATATAGTACTATTAGCCGAAACAGTTGACGACCTAAAGTACACAACAGATATATTGCTGAAGGAGGGGAAAAAAATTGGCCTGAAAATTAATGAGACAAAGACAAAATACATGATAGTATCTAGACAAAACCACAGATCGGATTCCTTGAAAGTGAATGAGTACACATTTGAAAGGGTAGGAAATTTTAAATACTTAGGTGCAGATATTAATGAGGATGCTAATAGCCACGAAGAAGTGAAAAGACGGCTCATCGCAGCAAACAGGTGCTACTATGGACTATTACCATTGTTCAAATCAAAACTATTATCAAGGAAATCCAAAGTAACACTATATAAAGTTCTAGTCAGACCAATAGCTTTGTATGCAAGCAGTACTTGGGCGACGACAAAGTCAGATGAAAAAAAGTTAGAAGTATTTGAGAGAAAGATATTGAGAAAGATATTTGGCCCAAACAAAAACAATGAAGGAGAATATGAAATACGTAGCAATAAAAATTTAGAGGAATTATATAACGAACCCAATATTACTGGGATCTTGAAAAGCGCACGAATAGGATGGGCTGGGCATGTATGGAGATCAAAAGGACTAATCGGACAAATAACCGCATGGAAACCAAACGCAAAGAGGCCCAGAGGACGTCCTAGACAGAGATGGGTTGATAGAATAAAAGAAGACCTAAAGATGTTGGGAATAAGGAATGCCGAAGAAACGGCACAAAACAGAGAAGAATGGAGACAGTATGTTGTTGCGGCAATGGACCTAAAAGGCCGGTAAAAAGCCAAAGAAGAAGAATATTAAATATAACACTAATTCACATTAACTAATGTCTAATTCGGACTTAATGCCATGACAATGTGCACACTCATAATGACCGTAATACAATATAGGTACCTACATAGGAACATTGATATTATCTGAATATTAAAGGAAACGATTGACTATTGTTGATCGTTCTCATGACCATATATATACACTACGACTGCATATTATAACATATAAATAAATATAATAGATTATAATGTGTAACGTCTAACGGGTAAACGAAATAGGGAAACCCATCAATCATAATGTACCAGTGCAAATAATATTATATCGATCACCTATATGTTTACTTATTTTTACTTACTGATATAAGCGACTTACAAACACTCATTATTATTACGAAGTATTGTAGTCATGCAATTTCAAACTTTTGAGCTTAAAGTAGTAAAGTACTAATACCTTTTAGAACCTTTGAAAAATTACAAATTATTACAGATTCGCTTTTCTTACCAAAACATTTTTTTCTAGCATATTTTAATGTATTTTGAATAATGAATTGTTTTTAGGTACCTACATAAGATAAAATAACTATTACGTTTTGAATTAATTATCCATTCATTTCCTCCTTTTATTCAGTTTTCAAACCTTAGCTATGAATAATATTTATTTTCAAATGTTCACGATTTTGACAACATTTCATAAAATTCTAACCTTTAACGCTTATAATAGTTATATTGTTTATGTATTTTCAAAAATATGTTAATAGATGTATGAAAAACTTTTAAAAATCTTCTTATACCAATATATACTAAAAAAAACATGTATCTTAGATAAATCAAAACAAAAAACTATAAAAAGGAAAAAAAAGAAGATATCTATAAATATCACAAATTATTTTATAACTACTTTTTTTTAAAGTGTTGACAAAAATGTTACGGCTCAGCACAAAAGTTTTAAAAATGATAACAATATCCTTCATAAGTTTTTCTCATAGCAATTTATTCAAAAATATTCAGGCAAGATTTGTTGTATATCACCCAGAGAAATACCTAGGTATTATTGAGAAAAAGTTAGGTTGAATCTACAAACTGTTCGTTAGGTTAGGTCAACAAACTATGTATTAATATTGCAAGGCAATTTAGGTCATATTAACCAACCTCTTGGTTAATTTTAATATAGGTAGAATTAATAAAATAATTGTTAATATTGCCAACCATGGTCATCACAAACCAACACATTGATATATTTATATCCATAAACCTTTTGTTATTTTGACTATTGACAAAAATTTGTATTTTACAAATTAATATGTACAATTAATAAAATGATAGTTGATTTTACTTATTATCATTATTTCTGCCTAACAAAATGAAAGGTAGAAACAATGATTTACTCATTGATATTACAAAACAAGTTTATTATAAATTTATAACTTATTACTTGGCTAGGTCTGCAAGCAAGTAATGATCAATGGGTTCAAATTTAAATATTAATATGATGTAAGTTCCTACCTTATTAGTTATATTTATTATACTTGTATAGGGTGAGGAATTTTTTTTACATAAAATTATTTACTAAATTATTGCCAATAAATATTATAATAACATAAAATAAAATATGATTTACCTGTTTATTAAAATCATCATTGTATTAATTTAACTCTCTTAAATTATATAAACTAAAATAAAATATTAATTAACATTATTAAATTGTGCTAAATTCCAATACTAATTATAGAGAATCAATACAAAAATTATAAATTATGTGGTATATGTAAAAGGTATACAGTAAATAAAAAAATACATTTATATATTTAGGTGGGTATTATATACATAACTATACCTATTTAAGTATAAAAACTAAGTATTTTAGTTATAAGAAGTAAAATAAAATGACCATATTTTAATTTTTAATAGAAACTCAATACAAAAAGAATAATATAATAATAATGCTCTCTGGTGCATATAATTATAAAATAAAATAAAAATATATTATATATTATTACAAGTCATCATCATCATGAAAAGTATAAAATATAATACCAAAATCGTCCTAAGACAATGAATATAAAATAATAATAATAATAATAAAATAAAAACAAAATACTTATTAACTAACTTTTTTAAATTATGTAAAGTAAAATAAAATAATAATTCTTTACATCATTATATTATACTAGGTATTATTAATAATAAAAAACAATAAAAAAAAATATATATTATAGGTATAATATCACAAATATAAGATATACCTACCTATTAAAGTACAAACACTTAGTATTTATAATTTAACAATTGTAAACAATAATTGTTTACATTATTATAATATGACATCAATATAAGAAATAGACATATTTTTTTTTTTAATAAAAATGTAATACAAAAAGAATACCTATATAATATATTGTTATTACTACAGCTTAAATGTAAATGAAGCTACATATTGAAGTATAAAAAGCATAAATATACGAGTATATTGTATAATCACAAATGTTACTATCTAAACGCTAGAATCTAAATCAGTTAAATTTGTATCCATACCTGAACAAATTTGTCTTATCAAACTACTACTATCATATTTTGTCAAAATTGCATAATAATAAATTTGTAAAAACAACCATACATTATTGCATTGTAGTGGATATTCTAAATTGAATACATGAAAAATTTTTAAACATATATCTGCAGCTTTAAAAGCGGAGAATACTTTGTATTCTATATCATCAAAGTATACAAGTATTTGGACAGAGTTTAATAATGACCCAACAATTAAAATACAAGGTTGTATGTTATTTTTTTGCTTTTTTAGTTTTTCTAAAATTAATTCTACTTCTACTGCAGTATGTGCTATGATAATTAATGAGTTTTGGAAATCTTGTATGCGTGATTTGTTGCTTTGTTCACCCAAAGTCAATTTTCTAGTTGTAGGCAAAAATATTGAATGTAGCAAATATAATAGAGTAAAGGTTTCACCATCCAAAAATAAATAAACAAATAGTTATGAATAGTGCTGTCCAAAAATGTAAACCTAAAATCTTACTTTTACATAAATTGGTAGATTCTTTTAACTGACGTAATAGAGCTACACTTCCACTATCTTTGACATGATCATTCAATATACTTATTTAAGTTGGTAATGTTTTTTCAAATTTAACATTCAAGTTTTTAAAATTTGGGTATATTCGACAAAAATCAATCTCTATCTATAATATTATTGATTAAATAAAATATATAATTCAATAAATACATACCTATTTTAATCAAAATTTAGAATATTTTTGATTACTTACTAATTTATGGTCCATTGGCTTTGTATAATGTAACCATTTATTAAAAATGGATGCTATATCATTTGTTCTTATGTATTGAAGTCTGAAGTTAATTGTATTTTTCCATATTGTTTCAACTTCAGGCCAAGACAAATCATCATTGTTTAATAAAGAAAGTGACATATAATCTAAATCAGGTTCAATTACTACGTAAACCATATAACAATCAATATATTGAATGATAACAATTAATTATTTTTTTGCACATTATAAACACCTAGTGAAGAATTAAGTAGATCTTCGGATCTATAAACCATCTTCTTAATTTCGTATGTATTATTGTTTCCTACTTTTAAGCCTCCATTTTTTAATTTCTTCATAGTGTTGAAGTATTTCATATAAACCTTTCCTTTAGGAGCTTTGCAAGTACTATCTTTTAAAAAATAAATATCCTGCAAATAATAAAAATAAAAATGGTGAAAAACAGTTGAATTATTCTATAAGTAATTTTTCAATCAATGTGTTCAAAACAGTAATTTTTACTGTTTAATAATAAAATAATGTTAATATTAAATTTAACACTTAAAAAAGTGCTTACCTTTATTTCTGTTGGAAATGCCATAATAATGGCATTTGATATAGTTCTAGCTAAATCTATCGTCATAGTACGATTTTTTTTTATTAAATCGTTAATTATCAATTCGACTAATAGTGTACGGTACGATTCATTCAATTTTTTATTTTTAAAATAAAATTCAGCAACCATATAACCTTGTGTACTTTTTGTGAGAATTTGATTTATATAATATATAATATATTATTTTCATTTGTTGGAACAATATTTTGTGTTACTGGGATCAATTCTGGTTCTTCAAATGGAATATGATTCTGTCCAACTGGTACCTTGGTTAAAAATTATGAACATATTTTTCAAACATGATTTGAATACCAAGAGGAAAATTTGCCAGTAATAATCTCACATGTTCACTGTTCATATAACTCAAGACTTCTATATCAATACATTGATCTAAAACAACAAAAATACAATGTGTAAATTTTATAGTCATAATTATATTATAATATTATAAACCAGCAGTTTCCAACCTTTGTTTTCTTCTGTACCCCTAAGTTTAATATTTTTCTAGATTGTACCCCTCTTTAAATTTTTAAAATTTTTTCACGTAACCACTCTTAAAACATTTAATTAAAAATAACAATAATATAATGTAATAAATGTATATATTTTTATATTGAGTAATAAGACACATAATAAAATACTTATTTTACTTATTTAATAAACAATATGGAAAATAAGGAATTATAAAATATAAATAAGAAAAGTTTTCATACAATAATCACAGTTTGAAAGCAATCGACATACTGATTCCATTATAAAATTAAGTTTTACCCATGTGTACGAATGTGCGATAACAATATAAACCGGCCAAAGCTCAATACATACCAACACCGCAACTTATTATATAATCTATAATAAGATAGTATTCTATGTAGTATTGGTATTCTATACTCTGTAATCCACATCTATAAGATAAGAAAAAATTGTTATTTGTGTGACACAAGTTTTCATTTGTAATAACATATATTGCATATTTCCGAAACAAATAGTTTTAAATTAACCAAATTCAATATTTGTCCGCCATTGCTCAATTTTTTTCGCATACCCCTTGAGATCATCGCGAGTACCCTTTGGGGTACGCGTACCCCCGGTTGGGAACCGCTGTTATAAACTAATAAAAAGTGAGTAGGTGGGTAACGCTCTGCTGTACATTAGGTGTCTTGAGAGACATTGTACTAGATTTTGTGTTAAATTTGAATTCAATGATATAAAATCATAGTATAGGTACAAAAATAGATTCTGAGCGAATACCTATAATATTACTAAGTAAGTAATATATTTTCATACCTACTTATTATCTTGTACACAAGACACAAAAAAAAAAATAAAAAAAAAACAACATGATTATAAAATCAATACATTGCTCCACTCAGGATTCAAAAATTAACTGAATAATGCTTACCTATACATGTTTTATATACATATTCTAAATTCCATGATTGTAGAATTTTCCAAACTTGTACACATTCATCATCTGGCATGTTAGGTATTGAAGGTATTGTGACGAGATCTGATTTAATATAGATCTCTGTTTATCCATATCCAGTATATTATTATTATGTCCTGCTTCATTTTAGTCCATATCTTGGATTGAACCTTGTTGGAGTTCAGTACAATTTAAAAGTTCTTCATCACTAACCCAGACATCCATTTGTAATAATCTTTATAATACTAATTGCAGGCAACAAAGAACAAATAACAATTTATTTATGTATTTTATGTTAATTTGTAATAAATTAACTGCGGTTGAAGTTAGAAAATTTTAAAAAACAATAGTCAGAAAATTAAAATTAATTAACCCAAATACCACATTAATAACAAATTACAATATAAATAAAGGTATTAAATTATTTAACCAACTCCCTACCGAAATTAAGCAAATATATAACATAAATAAATTTAAATTAGCAATTAAAAATATGTACATGCGTTAGTTTGACTAGTGTCTCATTATCATTATCATTGTAAATTTATTTTGATTTATAAATACTAAAAATTTAACAAAATATAATTAATGTTATTTTTTTCAGAAAAAATAAATAAATTTACTTTAACTCTAAAATTATTGCTTATTATATAATTATACATTTTAAATATACTAATATAGTTAATACTAACAGTTTACACTTATGTTAATTAAAAAAAAAATTATAATAAAGACTTATATTTTACATTCATTACAAAACAGATATTTAAAAATATTCTTTTAATCGAATAACCAAATCTCCATTCACAAGAGTATTAATATTAATTGGTGGTCCACTACAATTTTCAGGATTTAATATAGTTTTTAAAATGAAATTTTTATCATTATTTACTTTATATGATTTTAAACGGGGACAATAGCACTCAATTTCTATTTGATTAACTACAAATGTAACAGTTAAATTATTTTTGTTAATGATTATTTCTAAAGTTTCATAAAGACAAACTTCATCTATAAAATTTGTTAAAAAGTACCCAATTTTGTATATTGTGCCTTTATATTCAACCTGAGAATAACTTAAAAAAACATTCAGAAGGAAGACCAAACATTCTTTGTAAAAATACTGTGTTATTACTTATTATTTTATATTTTTCTTTAAGTTCAATATTTTTATTATTTTCAGTGTTCATTATGTTAAATGCATACTTATATTGATATTTTTTAGCTAACAACATTGTAATGTTTTTTCTAGAACTTATATTTCAAGCATATGTTTTTAGGTTTTTGTGTTTAGCTTCACATCTGAAACACCAAAAATGTTTCGGCGCTCTAGATTGAAGAATTACTATTGGATAATGTAATAGTATATGATGTTTTGGTTTTAATGTATCTTGAAAAAGTAAAACATAATCTAAATGATGATTTTTAATAAGTTGTTCTAAGCGAATTATTGAATTATTTTTTATTAGACTTGAAAGTAAAATATCTACGATTTCCAAAAAATTTAAAAAAAAATGACCATACTGGATCATCATTAGGGATTAAATCACCAATTATCAGGGGAAAAAAATGTAAAAAAAGTCATCATTTCTCTGGCAGTCATTTTTAAGTGGAAATTGTGTATATTGTGTGATTGAATATCAGGTGAGACATTACCAATATCAATACAGCCATAATTAAATTTTTTCTTTCTTAGATTTAAAGTTTGTAAAGAGAATATTTTTACATCATCTGTGTAATATTTGATGATGTGACACATGTTATAAACTATAATGACAGATTCCTTCATAAATATCATGCATTAGATCAATACTGTAATTTTTAGTGGCATGGAAAGAAGTTAATTGGTGTAAAATTGGTTCTTTATTAATCCCAGTTTGTTTGAAATCATTTGTATTTATGTCTTCATTACAATTTTGATAGTTACACAGTAATAACTCATTCTCTGTACATGATTTTTGGGTATTACATTTTTTTTCTTTGCAAAATCTGTAAAAATAGTTGGCAGAAAAAGATTTACTAAACTCTAGTATACAGTTTAATCCTAAATTATCTCATACAACTAAACCTAAAACAAAGTAGACTTTTTTTATTCCTTCTGATGTTTTAATTAGTAATCCATCAACTTCAAGTTTATTTAATTGATTAATCAACTGCTTTAAACATAGATCATTGCCAAAATTTTTTACACCAACAGATTTTAGTAAAGCTGCGATAAATATATTTGTTAGCTTAGATTGGTTGCTTAACGGGAAACTATAATAAATTGCACAAATGCAATGACAAGAGGAATGAGAACTTAAAGGGTAGTTAACCTCAAAATCGTCAATGTATAAAAAATATGGTATTACAATTTTATTGTTATAAGGAATAATTTTTTCTTTCCATAAACTTCCCTGAATAAAATGTGCCAAATCTGTGCCATCAGAAGTATTTTTTAAATAATTGTAATGTGTTAAAGTTGTTAATAAGTTATCATTATGTTCAAAAAATGATTTAAATTGAAAATCTATTGGCATTAAAATACATTTTGTAGCCTGTTCACTATAGTTAGTTTCACCTAAAGTAGAAACTAAAATAATTTCATTGTTAATAGTGAATTAATGAATATTAGAATATAGATTATTCTTTGTTAACCATTTATTTAACATATATTCAGAACTGCACAATTTAAAAGGGGTCGAAAAAGCAGAAATAAGGGTATGAAATGATGATAGTAATAATGGATCATTGATTTTATAATTTCCAAATTTTTTAATAGTTTAGCTATAGGATTAATCAGACTTTGTGAAATTTCCTTTGGTATATTTACTACATCTTTTCTAGTAAAATTATTATTATTATGTAGTGCCATTGTAAAATGTATTGCTGATTGATGTACTAAATGAATAGCATTATCGATACTAAAATGTTCATTATCAAGTTCATTTCTACGCTCAGTAGCTGGTAATACATTTTTAAACTCAAATACATCATCTGATTCAATTGAAGCTTGGTAACTTTTAAAATGTTTTCGGGTATTGCTGTATTATTGATAAGGTTTTTTACGTTAGGTGTTAATTTTATTGAATTATCTTTCAAGTGTTTTCGTATAACGTTTTTTTTAACTATCTAAGTTAGGAAATGCTTGGGTACCTACAGTTATCTTCAATACATTCATATGTAGGTAGGTACTAGAAGGCTTTAACATATGAATCACTTTGTAATGAACCACCAATGTTGATAATAATGAAAAATTAATTTTACCTACATATAAAACAAATCATACTTAAATATTACTTATACCTACTGACTTATTATTTAATATATTATAACAAACTATTAATGAGATAATATAGGAAGTAGATATACTAGTAGGTTAGGTATTATTGTCTTAAATAGGAATTCTCAATAGAGAAACCTATAGAAAAAACGATTAAAATATTTAGATAGGTAGATATAATAATACAAACTAGTAGATACGTACCTTTTGAAGAGGTTCTGCCGTTCTGGTTCTAGTGTTCTACCAATATAATATAATATAAGTATAGGTACTTAAATTAATATATTATATTATATAACTCGAGTCACAAAATCATATAAATCAAAATAAAATACACGACACTTGACTTATAATAAGTAAATTAAAAAACCGTTAACGAGGACTGTCTATAGACCAGCAGCGTCCAGTGATAAAATATCTATGATCCATCAATACAATAACAAATATTTAAATATCTCATAATAGTTTATATGTTTTATCAATAAAATATTGACTAAAAAACCGACCAGTTTGTACATTTCAACTGTCGATTTATATGGAAAATGCGTTCAATAAAAAATATAGCATTATCTAATATTTTAATACGCATATGGGTAATATTAACAAACTCCGAGTATAAAATAACTGGGAGGTTTATTAAATTAGTTCCGATTGTTCATTACAATTATAAAATGGTTAATACTTTTGTAAGAGAAAGATGAAATAAATGTTTATATAGATTAACAAACAAGATTGTAGAAATAGTTAAGGATATAATTAAATTCACAAAGAGTTTGCAATAACAATAATATGTTTTTTATTCCAACAAAAGTAGGTTTATTAATGATCAACAATTGTAGTTTGTTGAAACTACCTACTCAAGATATTTCTCTGGGTGTAAGCGTTCGAATATTTTAAATGTTGACAACATTCATAGTATAATTCATAGAAATATAGAACGATAGCTCATATCGCATAGCAGATAGACACTTGGGTACCAACAATTACATATAATTTTATTAATATACAATAGACAATAATATAATACAACACGATTATTATTATTAAAAATTACATATATATATTATTATTAATTACGGTAAGAATCTAAATCAATCACTCTTCATCTCTTTCTTCGGCATGGCGTACATTATATGACACGAAGGTACAATGTATGCAGTACGTGAATTGTAAGACATGAATAATATCAAATACTATAAATGATAATACGGGACACTAGCATATTATAAAAACCAGGGAATAAAATAAATCATTGCCTTCCAAGATTGTTATATTAGTTGCCTATTTTACTCCTTATTATTTTCATGAATTGGTTTTTGACAGATTATTAATTTAATTATCAATATATCATACATTGATAAATCCATAAACCATAAGGATTAAGCAACAATCATTATTCATAGTAACAATTATAATGTTTTTGTTTTCATAATAATACAGTCTAGTCGCGATAACTCGATGCTAAAGGAGTATAAAAATAAACTTCGAGATACCTAACTCGACATTATCAAAATTAAATCAAAACTGCAAGTTATGTAATAAAATATAAAAATTTTATATTGATATTTTATGCATGATACATATATTTACATACATGTTATGCAAAAACTAAAAAAGATACAATGGTATTATAAGTATATATGGATAGTATATATATTTATTATATATGTATATATAATGGTATTATATGTACATATGTATTATTTATTAGATATAGTAGAAAAATAATTTGTAATTAATTTTTGGGTTTTCGGCTGTTTATCGACAAAATCTTTTAGTTTGCCTATGGCTTCGAATATAGAACTACCCACGCCTGCGACAGATTCAACAAATTGCCTAACAGTTTGTAATGATGATATTGCTTGGTTCGCCATAATCATATCACACGAACTTTGTCACTTATGCTTAAATGATTTCATTTTCATTTGTGAGACATGTTTAAAAACTAAATGTTTAAAAATACTCACCATACAGCGATAGACTGGTAGATAGGTAAATACTAACCAATACATACATACTGTTATTGTGCATGCGCTAATAATTAATTTCTATCTATTTGTTGAACCTTTATTATTCAGTACTCGAGATAAAACATAATACCATGAAATACCCAGATACCCAGATGGCCAGATATCACAGATATAATAATATACTTCGACTAAGTTATTCATCACAATTTTATAATCGAGTTAACAAGACCTATAATACATCGAGTGTTATGAGAATTTCTAGGGTAATAAAAAAAAAATCGAGTTGTCAAGTTTTTTGATTTATCAAGGTTTAAGTTATCATGACTTAACTGTAATTATAATTTAACCAATCCTACGATACTAAAAGGTGAAATTATAACATTAGTGCAAACAAATTTTGATAAACATAAACTATTCTTTTTTTAACTTTTTGTTTTTTGAAAATGTATATTAACATGTCACTAAAAATTATCGAAATGCTTGAAAATGTATACAAGGTTCCACGTAAGTTATAATAGCAATTGAAAAATATTAAAGATCCATAGGTTTTTATAAATAATTAATGCTCAAATTTAGGAAAACCTTCGAAAATTTGCAAATTATTTTATAGTTAAAAAATTATAAAATGTTCAATTTTTATAGCTGAGGAATGAGAATCCAAAAAAAATTATTCCTCCAAATAGTTTATACTATAAATTATAATCTAAAAAATTGATAAACACAGTTGTTTTTTGTAGTTATTATAACTTTATATAGATATTATTTGTGATGAAAAAATTAACATAAAAAAATGTAATAATATATTAATGTATATAGTAATAACATTGATTATACATTGAATACTATTAAATATAAATAAATAAATTATAAATCAACGGTTACGTAATAAACAAATGCAGGCATTTTTATGAGACAAAGGAGTAAAATAGGCAACTAATATAAAAATCTTGGAGGCAATGTTAACAGTTCGTGTTTCACTCATTACTTATAATATAGGTACCTTAATAATATCTTTAATCGTGCATAGACATAATATCGTTTATAGTATTTGATAATATTCACAAAATGTTGTTCATTAATGATTTTATTTGTTCATATTTTGCGAATTTCTTTAATATTTTAATGCTACAGCGGTCCGCCGTATAAAATATTATCTCACACAATCACGCCGTGTTATCAACTCATGGAGGTAGAGTAAATATTGTGCACGGACGGTGTAAGCAACCGACATCTACAAGCTCCCCGTGAATTCCAGGTTCTTGTTGCTCCGGTTCCGGCAGCATTGCAGCTATAATGCTCATCGAATGGTGTGATAACGGAATTGAATGCATTTGATTGTGTGTACAGTTGTGTAATGTGTGTATACACTATTGTCTATTACGGTAACAGTACAATAACATAACACCCCCGCGTCGCACCTGTCCGTAGTGGTGTTCTCGTTGTTTAATTTAATCGTCCCGTTCTCATTAATGGCTATTTCGTGTGCGTAGATGAATAGTTTTTTAATTAGTATTCGCCGTCGTCAATTGTCCGCGTCGTTGTCTCGTGCGCGCGTCTCTCTCCGCCGTCACTCGCCGCCCGAAAACTACGGCACCGTCGCGGCCGTTTTTTTCAGCCCGAATCGAATGGCGGACTGTAAGTCATCGAGTGTTGGACGAAATGGACGTTGTCAATAGATTCACGGCCCCTGGTGCCTGCCGACCAACCGTTTTCAGCGTTTCTTTGTAAATTCCACCCGTGGTATCCCGTCGCGTCGACATGGCGTCGCACGGACCGCGTTTCGCGGCAGCGCTGCTCATGACAGCAATGATGCTGTTATTTATGGTAAAATGTTCGGTTTCGTTTGCACACTCGTCGAGTCAACAGATCCAAGACGGTTCGATCGGCGACGACCCTACCGGTCACCATGGCCGGTGTGAGTCCATCACCATACCATTTTGCATGGGCATTGCATATAATGAAACAATCATGCCCAACTTGTTGGGCCAACAGCGTCAAGACGAAGCGGGTTTCGAAGTGCAGCAATACTATCCGTTGGTAAAAATCCAATGTTCCCACGATCTGCAATTCTTTTTGTGCAGCGTCTTCGCTCCCGTGTGCACCATAATTGAGAGACCTATTCCACCCTGTCGGTCACTGTGTGTGTCAGCGCGCAATGGCTGTGAGGCAATAATGAACCGTTTTCAAATTGAATGGCCCGATAATCTGGAATGTTCAAAGTTCCCTGAAAATGGGCAACTCTGCGTCGGTGAGAATAATGTAACAAACACTTCTCCAACACCACAGACTGGTTTAATAGAACAAAGCGGAAAAGATTTAACAGCACCCGGATCTAGACACTTTTCAGGAGATCAAGGATATCCAAATAATCCCAATAGCTTTGATATTGGGTTTGTTTGCCCACAACAATTTCGAATTGAGTCTAATAGTAACAAAAAAAGATCTGATAGGAGCAATCAAGTTTATACATTAAAAGTTGGCAATAAAGTAGTAAAGGATTGTGGAGTACCCTGTGATGCATTCTGGAGTCAAGATCAAATGCGCAGAGCTAGATCATGGGTGGCTCTGTGGTCTGTGTTGTGTGCTATATCCTGTTTGTTTACTTCATTAACTTTTGCCATTGATACACACCGTTTTCGATATCCAGAACGACCAATAATATTCTTGTCTTTGTGTTATCTGATGGTTTCTATATCTTATCTGATTGGATATTTATCGGGAAACAACATTGCGTGCAACAAGCAAAATTTAATCACTCAAGGTACAGACGATAATGAATGGTGTACTGTACTATTTATGGTGTCGTATTTCTTTAGTAGCGCATCTTCTGTATGGTGGGTTGTGTTGACATTGACTTGGTTCCTTGCTGCGGGACTTAAATGGGGACATGAAGCTATTGAAGCAAATTCTCATTATTTCCACTTAGCGGCATGGACGGTTCCTGCTGCTAAAACAATTACAGTATTGGCTTTGGGAAAAATTGAGGGTAAGTAAATGTTCACACAATTATAATAAAATATTATGTTTAGTATAAAATACTACCAAGGTCCCTCTTAATAGGTATTTAGATACAATATTAAACAATAATAAACCTAATATTGTAAGACATAAAACACAATATCTTGTTTGAAGAACTTTTAAATCCTATTTTAAGCCACTAGGTTTATAAGTTTATACAGGGTGCGGCGTAATGGACTCCCATATTTCAAATAATCATTAGCGCGTAATTAAACTGATTAGATTAAAGTGGTTTATTTCGCTAGATTAGATTATTAATAAGGTTTTTAGTCGTCACCATGCCGTGGTCTGGTGAACAACTTGGTTTCGTTATTGAGGCATTTTTCAAAAACGCTGAATGTGTGATTGCGACAGAGAGCATTTCGCAATCGGTTCAGTTTGAATCCAAACGAAAGTGTCCCTGATCGGAAAATGATTTTGAATTGGGTACAAAATTTAAGAGCAACGGGATCTGCAATGCCTAAAAACCGGTTGGACGTCCTAAGTCCGCGATTCCACTCGATATGCTGGCGAAAGTGATGGAAAACTTTCGAGAACGGCTCCATATGTGCGTTGCTCGTCAATGCAATCATTTAGACGATATAATTTTTAAAAACTAATTTTAAAAAAACCTTATATAATATAGTTTTTAAAAATAAAAATTTTTTTTCTTTATCTTGTATCGTTTTTTTTTAATTCACTTCGGAAATGTGGGAGTCCATTACGCCGCATCCTGTATTTATACTTCTTTTTTACTCATGCTGGGCATCATATATTTTAATAATAATTACCTAGTATAAACAAAATTTCACAGTTATGTAAGTTTTGATTATTTACACTTAATTTCCCATGAAATATTCAAGTTTCATATAAAAATTTTGATTAGATATTTAACGGTGTTTACAATTTTGTTAAAATATATATCACAAGTCATAGACAATAGTTGCATTTCAATTTCAAGTATTGCACACCTACAAACTATTATAACAAATCTTATAAAATAAATAAATAAAAGCTTATTTTATGAGTACACAGATCTTCTGATCCTTAAATTGTACATTTATCTTGTTATTTATGAAATTGTTAGTAAAAAATTATTTTATTTTGTTTAAATATTTTAGGTGATGTTTTAACCGGTATCTGTTCAATGGCTGTTTGGAGTGATGATACGGCTGTGAGAGACATGGTGCTATTTCCTTTAGTAGTTTACCTGATTTTGGGTACAGCATTTTGGATGGCTGGATTTGTTTCTTTATGCCGCATTCGAAAAGTAATGAAACATGATGGTACTCGAGGTACTGAAAAATTGGAAAAATTGATGATACGCATTGGCGTCTTTAGTGTTCTATACACAGTACCTGCTGTGGCTCAAATCTTATGTTTAGTTTATGAACATGTCAATCTCAGTTCATGGATTATTAGTTGGCACTCTACTCTTTGTCAAGATCCAAAGTATGCTCTGCCATGTCCTTCTCAACCCAGTGACACGGGAAAAAAACCTAGCTTTGAGGTGTTTATAGCTAAATATTTTGTTTCATTATTAGTTGGTCTTACATCGAGTGTTTGGATTTGGTCTAGTAAAACTCTGAATAGTTGGCAAAAATTTTTGGCTCGAATTCGACCTAATTCAGGAAAATCTGAAGCTTATGTTTAATTAAATTTAAAGTTTGGTTTATTAATGTATCAACATATTTGTTTTTAATTTAGATTTCTTACAGACTAATATATTTTATACTATTCACAGGACATTTAATAAATTAGGGATGATTTGATACCACATTTTGTTTATCTAATTAATTGTTATATTGATTTCAAGTCCAATATTCAATGTACATAGTATAAGTTATCAAAATCAAGCTACTTCTTAATTAATAAACAATTAGCATCACTAAATGTCATGTATATAATTATAAATTTGGTGGTAATTAAATGTATGTGTACATAGAAAATAATAATAATCATTATTTAGGCTTTTTTAACAATATAATTAATATTACTAAGTAGTAACAGTTATCTTTATTTCTGAGTAATATAATAATTTTATTATTAATGTGACGTTAGAATTATATATTTTTTACATTTTATATACCACAATTTCTACTACTATTATTTATGTAATGTTATGATTCTTTATGATAATTTGTTACACACACATATATATATATATGTGTGTGTGGATGTGTGTGTGTGTGTGAGTGTTTGTATTTTTATTCTATGAGTGTTGGCTTTGCTGTATTGGCATTAACATTAATCATTGTAGGTTATTGTGATTTAACAATTTATTGTTCGAGTACAATTAGGCGTAAACGCCTAGTGACTCGAGCCGTATTGACACTGTTTTCTTGAAAACTACTGTAATTATCTATAAACAACTATATTGTTACCAAAATATTTCCTTTGAACAAACTTATTAAATAATTTGTACGTAAATATTTATTCAATGTGAGTATCAAGAACCAATTAAATAAAACTTTGACCTTTTGTTTTTCAGTTAAGACTTATGAACATTTCTTTGTTATAAAACTGCCATAATTTTAACATTAAGCTCATAAGACATAATTCCAAAGTTTAATTTGTATGTCCTTTATATTAATTAAACTAAAACATCATTTAAATCTTTATATTTATAAGTTTTGTTGCAATTATTATTGTGTTTATTCATTTTAAGTAAAAAACATAGTTGTTATGATTATTACTCTTGCAATATTATATGAACTTAAATCAAAATAATCTTTATATTTATATTTTTTACTGTAAACGCTAATTATTTTGTTAAATGTACAATTCTTGTAGATTCTCGGTAACTTGAATGTTAACATATCAATTTTAAAAAATTGTAATTATTAGAAGGGATTTTGATCACAAATATTTTTAAATACAATTCACTGAGTTTTCTCCAAGTTTCAAATTATCGGGAATATACAATTTATTAACATAATTTTTATTTTATATTTATAATTATATATATTAGTTACTATTGACTGCAATTAATATGGTACTTAATTCTTACATTTATATATATATAAATATAAGACCTGAGCAATTTTTTATATTAATAAAACAACACTGTTACAATAATTTATTTTAAATCTTTTGTATTGAATTAAAATTTTTGTGAAATACTTTTAAATAAATGGAAATCATTTTTGTACAAAAAAAAATATTTTGGATATTAGCCCTTAATATTTACTTTATATGGTTGTAAAAATAATTGTTGCAAAGATAAACATTACTAATTATGTAAACGTGCAGAGCATGTAAAGTTGCCCCACTAACTTAGGCATATCGACTAAAAATTTTCACATTTATTTATCTTGCTCATTACGATGATTTGTAGGTAAGCCGTTAGCAAAATATTAATTAGGTTAACTTCATGTAGATTGTAGACCACTGATGTTGCTCTAAAATGTTAAAATGTAATGTTAATAAAGTTTTGATGTTTGTAAGGTCACAAAACCCATTTTTGGACCGTAAAGTCCTACTCCAATTATCATTTTCAAATAAGTTTTCAAAATATTTAGCCTAATTTTAAATTTGTGTAGGCATTTGAAATTATTTTAATTTTAGCTAAATGTTAAACAATTTAAATACAGTTAAAAAGATTAAAATTTAATATGAGATCCCAAATAAATTGTTTTTATACTAATTTAAAAATATTAAAATACATTGATTGGTATGATTTTATTTAAAAGCTTTAAAAGTTCATATTTTAATGAAATTAGTGAAAATCTCAAACAATTAAAAAATTATTTGTAGTTGAAAATGTGTGCAATATTATAGTTTGTTTTTTAATAGCTAAGTTTGAGAATTGAGTACAAGATCCACATAAGTGTAAGTTTTTCTGATAGGAACCTGAAAGTCTCAGTAATACAAATACACAATTTTTTCATATTAGTATTTCATTTTCAAAATTTGATTTAATATTAAAAAATAAAAATTTTACTTATTTTGTCTACTTGTTGATTCAAAAAATATTAATCGTAGGGACTTGAAATTTTTGCCTCAATGTAGAAGTAGATGTATTATTATTTACTGGACACAAGTTAATTTTCAAAATATTTAAATTAATTTTAAGTTATGTGTATGCTAACTGTCTGTTAGTGGTCTCTGCTCATTTATTTTAGGTATACCCAATAATTCATCATTGAAGTAAAATAGAACACATCCATTCAACCATTGAAAGTTATAGTGAACTAATCAATGACAATAGATTTACTCGTCACTTGACACCTATGCAACAGAGTGATTTTACCAGTTCTTGTCGTTATTGTATAACTAATAACTATTACGTACTTTTCTTTAGCCCCTTCAACTTGAATTTATTTTTTTGAAAATATAGGTAACTAGTCCAGTTATTAAACAGTTTAGAAATGGTTGACCATCGAATTTCATTGATAAATTTTGTTTTATTTATTAAATTTCTTGATCCATCTACTTTGTAATCAACAAATTTAATAGAATACTAAATTAAACGTATTTCAACAATATTAGTTTATCGAAAAAAAGTTGTAGTATACTAGTAATTGAGCAGTCTGATATAGTCTTTGAACATTTTAAACTCAGTATTTGAACACTTGAAATTAAAATAATAAGTTATGCCAATAACAGTACAAATGTATAACCTAAAAGATTTTGTTGGTGTTTTAAGACATTTAAATTATTATGGCACAAAAATAACAAATATAAAATATTTAAAACAAAAAATGGTTTATTATAAAACAAATGAAATAACAAAAAACTTAATTTATATAATACTTAACCCCAAACTCCCCCCCCACACCCCTAAGGGGATAGAAGTTCTGAAATAAACAATGGTACCTACTACCTATCCATATTAATTAAGATATTTTATGGTTGGTCATCTGATTTCGAATAAGTCTAGAAATTATTAATATAACAATAATTTTCTGTTTCTTTACTATTAAATAAAAGAAAGTCAAAATGTTTTTTTTTTTTATTCAACATTTACCGAGAATATAAAAGGAAAACATAATTTTTATCATATAAGCCGTAAACATATGTTTTTTAATTTAATAAGAGTATTGGAGAACTGCGATTAGGGGGGAGGGCCTACCGGCCTAATGGTATATTTAAAAAAAATGTATATTGTTAAAAACAAAATAACAAAAAAAAACATACTATAATATCAAAAGTTAATTTTGAAAATATCAAAAAACATGTAAATAAAGTATTTCCAAATTTATTTAAAATTACGCAAGTGGCAATCACATAAGTACATAACCAGTTTGCTCAGGGCTGATTCACTGATTTAGCAATATTGAAAATCGAAAAATATATTACAGTGGATACCGTAAAAATATTAAACACATTTGCTAAATCCAACATAAAAATACAGCTTAAAAAATGTGTAAGGTACATTTTTTTAAAATAAAAATGTATTCTATAATTAAATTATTTTGTTGTTACTTGTTGCTCTAAAGCCATACATATTACATACAGTAGGTATTAGTAATTCTTATTGTTTATCAAGAGTTGTGTGGTGTTCGATGTATATTATAAATACAATTTTGACTACTATTATAAGTAGATGAAATAGTACATATGAAAAAATGTTTAATAAGTTTTATTTTTTGTCAATATTGTAATTAAGTACGCAGTATACGGTATATCTATATGTTGTATTAAAAAATGTGTGTGGTGTTAATTATTTGCATAAATGTTTCATTCAGTAGCTAAGGTTTCAGCCCCNNNNAGTTTATCAAACCCTCAAAATTTGAAAAGTTTATTCTAATACATTCGATGCTTTAAAAGAGACATATGGTTTTTCTTAGGCTAGTAAGTAGATGTATGTACAGTCGAGATATGAATTCAATTTTATACTTTTTTCATTGGTTGATACTTAATTTCTTTTAAATTAACATTCATAAGCTGTATTGGAAAAATTGATAAAGTATCAAAGTTATCAACGTTTCTTGAAAAATAAGTTTTTGATGTATTTCTATATCGTTCTCTCTAAACCATTTCCCGTTATTTCCATACGTCTAACTTTTGTAATTAATACTTTTGGTATTTTACTGGGAAAATGTAGGAAAAAAAAAACTTTTTAATAACAATATACAAATGATACCTATGTAATATATTTTAGTAGGTACAATGTATTTTCTCGTCTCCTGAGATCAATTTGGGTATGTAAAAGGTAAGCTATTTTATAATACATATATGATATATATATATAAATTTGATAGTATATTAAATGTACCTATGTGTATACATTTTATACAGCCATTTAACTCACACTATACATCTGAGATAGGTAGGTACTCAAATTTGTGTTAGTAAATTAATTTAAATTAAAAGTGACATTTGTTTATGATAAATACCTAATAATAGTTTGATTCAATGTATACCTGTGATAATAATATATTAGTTGAACTTAGAAGTCACTCAATAAGTTAGATTTGAGTTATCTCTGTTCGAAAATTATGTGATTTTGAGTTGTTGCTGTCCGCTGGAATTTGTTCATAATAATATACGATTGTCGATGAGACAGAGACAATAGAATAAATCGTATTAAATTATATTATATTTTGATGGACTACATTTGCAAATTGTCAAGTACAGTAAACAGCTAGGCACATAATAAAAATAATATAGTAAATTACAAACCAAATTTTTCAATTTCTAAAATGGGTGTATAGTAATTTATGCCCATTCCCCATGGACGATAGTAAGCTCTCCTGGGTCTACTTCAGTACTGTCTGAAAGGTGTATGTAAACTCTCCCGAGTTTCAAAAAGGAGGGATCCCGACATAAAAGGAAAAATTAATTAAAAGATAGGTACCTACGTTTTAAAGTCCACCTACATAGAGCATAAATATAAATTTACAATACAATTTTATTTACGACATTTATTTATGGCATAAATTATAGTAAATAATAATAAAAAAAATGGAAATCATTTTAATCAGCTGTACCTACCTAACTGTCCAGCTATAATGGACAAGTTACCTGATATGTACTTTGAGACAAAAATAATTAGATACGATTCAGATACAAATACTTTTATACATTTTACTTTGAATTAATTATTATTTAGAAGTAGTTTTTTTTTAAGGGAAGCCGCAGTTTCAAAGTCTCTCCCGGGCCCCGACGAGCCGCCCCTGCCAACTTGCCTGACTTTTTTACTTTTGACAGTTACAACTAGAT